TTATATATTCAATTTCTTCTTGAGTTTCTCTTCTGATTGTCTGATAAAGTAGGGTAATTAATCCTGAAAACTGAGTTGATCTGAGGTTTTGGTTTTGCAGCATTGGTTGCTACTACAGTTTGAATTGGTCTGGAAGGATTCCATGGGATTTTGTCGCCATTTGGAAGACAGAAGTCACGCCCATCTCGCTTGACTATTCCTTCTTTTTCATCCTTTTGAGCCTCATAACAGGTGTAAGTTGAATGTCCTTCCCTATGGCAGTAGGCACAGGGTCGGGGATCATAAAGTCGTCCAGTTGGTCGTTCGTTTCCACGGGAATATTCTGTAGTTGGTTGATTTTCCAATTTTCCAGTAAGTGTTTCAATGGCTTTTGCCAAGTTATCAACCTGTTTTTGCAGCATTTCGGGAGGATTTTCCTCTACCATCTTCTCACGCTTTTTGCCATCACCTTTCTTCTGATCCAGACTCCTCTGCAGCATGTGATTGGCTTCAGCAAAACCAATTGCAGCAAATGCATTTATGGATCTAGCTCGAATTTCATCTTCAGCCACATCAATAACATCTGCCAAAAGAGGGGGCTTATTATAACCATCCTTTCCAGTTGGTATGAGGTCTGCTTTGACTAATTCTCTGTTAATGCTGGTTTGTACGTCTACTGAGAATGCTAAGAAAAACAGGTGAGAGACACTGGTCTCATTAATAATATGTTTGTTTCTGACTAAATACTTTGTTATCATCATGAATTTTGACTGATAAGTTTTAAAGTCATTAATTGTTTTGACCCCACCTTTCTTCTGGCAGAAATCAATCAAATTATAAAGGTCTTTGAGTGTGTAACGGATTTTCTTAATTACCCCTCCCCAGAGTTCCATCATGCTAGCTCGCAAGATTGTCCAGTTGCGGGTATCATAGCCATCCATTGACTCTAATTCCTTTTTCAATTCTTCACTTTTCACAAATCTACACACCTGACGTGCTTTATCAAAGCCGCCAGCACCATATATTTCTGCTGCTAGTTTGATCTGTCCAAAAAATCCTCAAAGTTTTCGCCATCGTACTTGAGGTCCGCTTCCTTGATGATAACCGCAGGTCTCGGCCTGGGTTCG